GAATACAATGATATTAATAATGTAACTTCTATAATTATTTTCAAATATCCCCTCCTTAATTAATAGAAAGTTGTTTGCGTTATAAATAAGCACTCTTTAGGGCTGGTTTATTCACCTTCTCAAACACTTTCAGGTATGGAACACTGACGGATAAAAACGCAATCTGTAATCACATTGATCGGCCAGTTATCTATCGACCGATAGAATAATAATAATTATAGAACGGATTACCACCAGCAAGTTTATCTGAAGATGAATAAACCAGGCCTTAAAAATAAAAATTATGTAAGTATACAGCACTATTGCATTGTTGGTTTTCAGGGGCAAATTGTCCAATTTGTTATTATTTCTGAATTGATCCAAAATCCAAACATCATTTTGATCAATACGTGAAACTTCCAAAAAGGGAGCCCAAAACCAAAAACCCCTCATCTCTCATTTTTTCCCCTATGACACACCACACTGGAAACCGCACTCGCATTACTTCAATGTGGTGGGGCTGATGACCGGCCTGATGTTGACTTTCATTGTCTTGCTAAATTGATTACCTACCTTCTCTTTGTTTCCGATATGATCTTCCTCAACCATCTTCTTCGCTTGTGATGTCAATTGAAAGGATTTCAATGGTAAAGGTAATATGTCCTGATTCACTGTTTGATACCATCTGTGGCGCGTGGCGCATGAAAACAACGTATGCTATACATCGTCCACGTCTCCGCAGTAGGTATGTGCAGATAAGTGTTTGATCTTTTCCTTTTATAGGACTGACGTAAAGCATCCAATGCCTGTGTCAAATAATAGTCGACTTCTCCAAAAGGTCTATTTAGTATTTATCCACTTATTTATGTCTGGTCCATGCGTCCATGCACCGACCCTTCGTACTGACTCTCCAGTGCTCTTGATGGCGGGTCATCAAGAATATTCCTGCAGCGGTCTTGTCCCTCCCGTTGTATCTGTTCTTTTTTGATTAAAAGGTCAATGAAAAAAGGGACCCGCTATCACTCCAACAGCCTCAGCAGGAGATTGTCCAGTATGCACTGACTGGCTATCCTGAGCCTCTGGATTCTAGTAGACTTTTTGTTGAATGCCTTATTGGTTGTGATGCCACACCGATGCGGCGTACAGTATCTGACTTTGGACACCCTCGGACCACCAATATCTGGCATAAGATTAGACAGAGCCGATACCGTTTGGTCTACCTTTTTCAGAGTGCGATTTACATGTTCGGACAATGAGAGTTGCGTCTACAGTCTGCCACTTTCGTGTAAAGCCGTATTGATTTTACACAAGAGAAGCCTTACCGTTACAGAGTTCCAGCCCAGGGCTGGAACTCTGTAACGGATAGCGATCAATATCTCTATCTCTAGTGGCGTCCCCTCTCTATTGATTTCGATAAGAGAGAAGTAGACAGCAAGTGCCATAGCGATAGGGATAACGATCTCTATCCGTTACAGAGTTCCAGCCCAGTTGTGATCACTAAAAGATTTTTTGTCACTCTTGTGCTAGCCTGTCAACATCGTCTGTCGACAGCGTTAAGTCTATGACTGATGAACTCTGGTTTCTATGCAACGTAGGTTGGTCCCCTTGATTTTGACAAATCAGGTCATTCTCAACAATCCATTCCGACAGTACATTTCCTCTTCTATCGGTGTACTGCATCCGCCACTGCGGCGAATTTGCATTGAAGTCGTCTACAATTATGTTCTTTCCTTTATACGTCTTCATGCAAGTCAAGTACCTACCTAAGCTTTGAAAAAGATGTTTCTCGATTTTATTGATACTATTAAAAGATATCAGCTTTTGAAGAATAATGTTATTTGGAGAAAAGTTAATAAATTGAATATTGTTCATCGACAGATCCGAAACAGTTAAATCATCAGGAAACTGGAATAATTTTGGAAACCCATTGAAACTCATTAGCCCATTGCCTATAGACACTTTCCATCGAACAGACTTGGTACCTAGCCAAAGTTTGACTATATCCACGGACTAGTATTGGCTAGCGACTCCCTATGTAACTTGAATAGACCAGGCAAATTTCAAAAAAATGTACGATGAATGTGAAGTTTTTGCGGACAGTTATTTTTTTGTTGAAAACGATAGCTCTCTTATCATAGAATACAAATCTAAAAATCCCAAAAAATCGGAAGTGAGCTAAAAACGCCATCTTGAAAAACATGGCCGTCCGTTCAAATCTTGAAAAATTAATTATCTTCTTGTGCCTTTGAACATTTTTTTTTTTTTTATTTTCACGGAATTTTGAGCTTAAAATGTCAAAAAAAATGAACTTTGATTTTAGATATAACCAAGACTATAAATTTCCTGACAAAAAAAAAATTAAAAACGCTACCAGATTTCTCATCCATTCCTGTACTTGAAGATAATATGTCCTGAAAATTTAGGAAAAATTATTTGCTGCTACCACCATTTGCAGATTTTTTAGGCCATGGATACTTATGGCCGTTTCCACCAACTATTTTAGGGAAGCCTTAACGATAAGTTTTCCCTAAACTGACAGTTCTCCATGGACAAATGTCAGTTTGAGGAATACTTATCGTTAAGGCTCCCCTAAAATAGTTGGTGGAAGCGGCCATTAGAAAACGATTTAGAGAAAACAGTATTGCAACGTTAGAAGCTACTGAAGATGCGAACACCTTAATTGTAAACACAGCTATTAGGTATAAGAACTATACATATGTATAGTACAGCGGATAAGCTAACCTATTGTGCACTTTTTGATAAAGGAACCAAATTTTGCACAGAGGTAGACCGATGTAATATGATTATGAACAAATTTGGATGTGGAGCCATCGCCCAACTACCCCCTGGCGGTTGTGGCGGCGATTTTTTAAAATTGCTGAAAGACAAGGGAAGTAAGATAAAGTTTGCTACTGAAGGTTTTGGTGAATGTTTTAAATGAAAACATTCCAGATGGTTTTAAAGTTATACAGAGTGGGGCACGCAAAACTTCCCACCTAGATTTTCTCAGGTCTCGTCTCAGGTTTTAGGTGATTAATCAAAAATCGCTCGGACACGTTATTTTTTGTTTCTTGCGGAACACAATTTATTGGTATCGGGTCTTCAAAAAAATACCAATCAAAGATTGCTATGGTTTTTTAAACGTATTTTTCTTCAATTTTGTCCATGAGCTTTAATGTCAAATTTTTTTTTTGAAGACTTGATATTTTCATCCTCTACCCGTCAAATTTCAAATGGAAAGGGGGTTCGAGTGATATGTACTACATATTTCGTAACTTTGACGACTCGCCTTTTCGTCAGGGAATATTTACTCTGCCGCAACTTAAAATTTCGAGGATATATTCTTAATAAAAACTTTCGATCAAATGACGTATCACTCGACCCCCCTTTCTTTTTGAAATTTTTGGAGGTACCCCCGCTTAGAGGCTGACAGGTAGAGGGATGAAAATACCATTAAAATGGTTGATTGATTTTTGATTATTCACCTTACATCTGAGAAAACCTGGGAGTTTTTTCGTGCTCCGCCGTGTATACACAAGGTGTCCCATGACGTTTTACCCAGGTGATAACTTCGAAACGCGTCATCCAATATAATTGAAATTTTGAGGACCTGGGTAACTTTTTGTGCCGCTTCTACATGCGTCATGCATCCAATTTTACTTTCGCTTCAGTTTTGGTCAAGTGACGGCAACTTTAGAATCTTGAATGTAACTGATGGTATAATATCATTTTTCGATTACAAAATCAGCACTGGCATATTTGCCAAGGCTTTGTTAAAGAAAATGATGAAAAATTACAAAATGGAACATTCGATGACGCGTTCCTAAATTATCACCTGGGTAAAACTTCGTGGAACACTCTGTATATATAGAGTGGGGCACAAAAAACGTCCCACCCAAGTTTTTCTCAGGTGTTAGGTGATTAATCAAAAACCGCTCGACCGTTTTATTTTAAACTGATGACAAAAAAAAAATGTGTATGTTCACAAGTCGGCTGCTGCAAGTCTATATGCCTTTACTGCCAAGGAATAGATTTCAAATATGCTTGTGTTCTAGACGAGGATCTTTTCAATGATTAAGTTTTTGTTTCGTTAATTTTTTTGTAATTTTAAGCTCAAAATTCGTGAAAAAAAAAATGTTAAAATTGCTCCAAGAGACAAGAAGATATTTGATTTTTAAAGACTTGAACGGACGGCCATGCTTTTTCAAGATGGCGCTTCAAGCTCACAATGGATTTTTTGGGATTTTTATATATTTGTTCCTGGACATATAATACATCGATTTCCATTGAAAAAAAACTGTCCCCTCGAACTTCATTAAAAAAATAAAATTTGCCGGGTCTAGAAAGGATTTTTTCTAGAATTTCCAATCTGTGGATGCATTTTGTTCTTGATGGAGGTCGAAATCGAGGGGAATTTCACTAATCCATCGACTCTCGCCATAATTATTGACTTTTTTTCATTGCAGCCTGCAGCCTACAGTTCTTTGAATTTGAGATAGGTAATCTTGGGTAATACTTCCAGTCCCATAAAGATGAATAATGTAAAAAAAAAATATGGTTTTCTAAAGATGTTCAAAAAATAACCATTCGAAAATATTATTTTGAATATGTTGTGAAAATAATGATCTTTTTGAATAGGTAGGTAGTAGGTACCTAAACAAACGTCACAAACACAACTGCATCTAAGCACAAATAAATATAATAACCAATCATCTATAATGTAGATAATAATATATAATATACACAGATAGCATAATAATAAATTCATTAATCAGAGCTTCTATAGCCATTTTTGCCAACTTCAATTTAATTCTTTCGGCCTTATATTTGCCCTAAATTCCAATAAAATAATCAAATAAATAATAAATTATTATTAACTGTTGTTGGTTCGATATGATGCCTTATCGATAATCAAATTTTCCACTAATTAACTGATAACCACCGAGATGCGAAACCACACACTCACAACGACACTTGAATCCCACCTTCAGTAAACTTCGAGTATCTTACCAAATATCACGATGATAGTAAGGGTTTTTTTATTTATTTTGTTGCTGTGTGTTGGTGTAAATACTTTGGAAAGTTTGTGTTCGAATAATGTGTCCGATAAAAAGTGTTTATGCAAAAGACTTACAAATCAAGCTACAAATTTGCCAACTTCATTGGCCAATTGCAACGGGCTGAGTATCAACGAGTTTCCAAAATTGTATCAGTTTCCTGATGACTTAACTGTTTTGGATCTCTCGATGAACAATATTCAATTTCTGAACTTTTCTTCAAATAATGATATCCTTCAAAAGCTGATATTATCTTTTAACAGTATCAATGTAATTGAGGAACATTTTTTTCAAAGCTTACCAGAATTAGCTTGGCTAGATCTGAGCCACAATAACATCTCGAGTTTTGATAATGTGAATATTTTCCTCGAGCAAAAACGCCTTGTTTATTTGGATTTGAGTTATAATAATTTCAAAGAACTTCCTAGTGCCGTTTTTGAGCCCATACCTCTTCTACGTGTATTGGACTTGAGCTATAATCCTCTTGGAAAATTTCTAACAAACTCCAAAGATGTTTTAAATATGCAATTGGGATTATCAACAAATATTACACATTTCAAGCTGAATAACGTCGGTTTGAGTGACCTTCATCCAGACTACTTCGGGCAATATCAAGGACTAAAACATTTAGAGTTCCAAGATAATAATTTACAATTTATTCCTACAGTACCTTACTCAGTAGAATACTTAGATTTTTCTGGAAACAATCTTACCTTCATATCTGCCAGATACCTAAATTATCATTCTTTGAAAATACTGAGATTAAGCAGAATGCCTACCTTAGTATCAATTCACCATTATGCCTTCTACAATTTGCCCTCTTTGGAATCCTTGATTATAACCGATTGTCCAAATATTAAAGAATTTACTGATTTGGCTTTTGGCTTGGCTTCGAAAACGATGGAAATTCATCCGAAAAGATTAATATTGGCTAGGAATGGACTCGCTAAATTGAATTCCACCTATAAGCATATGTTCAGAAGGATGGAACATATTGATTTGAGGCACAATCCTTGGGATTGTAACTGCGCTCTTTTGTGGATGCAAGAATTCAATGCTGAACTTTTTAAAGGAAACGAAATCAGGTAATAATTATATTCCAGCATTATACTTAATTTTTCAAAATACATAGGTACTTATGTATTTGTTGATGAAATCATCCAGTGTTCTTAAACTTTTAAAAATATCTGCAGATATTCTAAATTATTGTACCTACTTGCCTACATTTTTATTTGGAAAAAAACGAAAGTAAACATAAATGCAATAAAAATTACCTGTAAGTCATTTCACTAACAGGTATTGTTATCTGATAAAATTGATTGGTTCAATCCCTAAGATGCTTGAACTTTGTTTAGTATTAAAAAACGTTTTTACTTGGTAGAAACACACAATGGTTAATTGTGTCTACGGATGACTTTTATTTTTAAAACATTAACAAACAGAAAAAATGTTCTAAATTGCACTATGTTTCAGGTGTGCTGGACCACCCCAATTAAAACGTAAACGTCTCCAAGACCTAACTCATTTCGACTTACCCGACTGCTTCCCAGACATTTATGGTAAAACGTCCCATAGAGTAACGATTATTATACTCATGGCAACTGTAATATTCCTTATGGGTCTCATTTTCTATTTGATAAGATATCCTAAGGCATGGGTAAATCCAAGACACATTGGAATTGGACCTAATTCGCCTTATAGTGCTGCGCCGCAAGATGATGTTAGATTTTAGTGAATTAGTTGATAGGTACCCTAATTAAGTTAAGCATTTTACAAAAAAAAAATTGTTTATTGGTCACTTATAAGCTTGTTTTTTGTAAGTTCGTTAAAGATGATGACTGCTGAATAATTTGAAAAGTTTGTACCTTATAGCGTAATTTAGTTTATGATTTTTGTTTTGTTTTTAAACTTGTAATACTTATTTTTATCTGGTTATTATAAGTGATCGGTTTTAAACTACTTACCTGGTAATTTCAAGTGATATTATTGTTAATCTACTGATAAAATTATCAGAAATGAAATTTTGCAATATTTGATGTTGGTTCACACTATAGTTTAATTTTTTCTGTTATCTTTATCTTCAAGGACCTTTTCCTATAGGTTTACCTATGTATAGATTTACAAGAGTTTTTTTGTAAATAATCTAATCTATCAAGATGTATTAGATACCTACCTATACAATGTTGTACCAACCGATTCCGAGTAAAGATCGGTGACAAACTTGCCCCGCCTGTCGAAGTTGCCCCACTCACCCCTATATTCTATGTGTAATCTCTTCGACCTTTGTTGTATTTTGTATTTCTTGTGACGTGTGATCCCTTAGTGATTTACCTGTCATCCTCCTTTCGATTCCTCTCTGATGTACTTGCAGGTTATTTAGGTTTTTTCTTTGTGAGAGTCCATGTTTCGCTTTTATAGGCAACTACTGTCAGAATATATTCGTTGTAGAATTCAGTTTCCAGCTTCAAAGGTAAGTTGGATCGAAATATGTGGAGCCATTTACCATACGCCGCCCATCCCAGTCATATATTCTCCTATTAATTTCAAGGTCTTGATTGACTTTGCTAAGCTTTATGTCCTAGACATTACAGTGTGTTCCGCTTAAGGACTGACCACCCTTTTAATATTTTTATTTTTCAACCGATTCAATTAATTTTTTTTTCTGTCTCATATCTACTCGAATTTGGCACTTATTAGGATCATAATTTTATTTCTGCGACTGTACTGGTGTACAGGGTGTCCACATTTATAGGCTCAAATTTCAATAAGTGAAATTCATAATCTGATATGTAGCAGATTCTTGTTCAGAATACTAGGACCCAACTGTACTAATTTTTGTTTCAATACGATATACGGTGATCACAATACTTTTTAAAAATTTAATAGACCAAACCGCAAAAACGTCATATTTTGAGGCCTTTTGAACCACAAAACTTGATAAAACATAGTTTTAGAACATTCTTAACTATAAAACTTGTAGGAAGCTTGTCTCAAAATATGACATTTTTGCGGTTTGATTCATTAAATGTTAAAAATTTGTTGTGCCCACCTTGTATCGTATTGAAACAAAAATTAGTACATTTGGGTTTTAAACGATTCTAAACAAAAATTTGCTAATGGTACTTATTGAAATATAAGTTTATAAATGTGGACACCCTGTACACCAGTACAGCCTCAGAAATAAAATTATGAGCTTAATAAGTGCCAAATTTGAGTAGATATAAGACAAAAAAAAATTAATTGAATTGGTTTAAAAATAAAAAAAAATAGAAGGGTGGTCAGTCCTTGAGCGGGACACACTGTAGATACTTGTAGGACTTTTTTCACCTGTTGTTTTTCCATAGTTATTGTATCCCTATTTGTCATGAACTCTTTTTTGACTCGGTTTTGATATATTCATTTCCAATTTCCAATCCGATCTTCTTGGAGTAATTTTTTCAGCATGATTTATAAGTCTGTTTCGTTCGGGGCAAATATTACGATGTTATCAGCGAATCTTAAATTATTCAGGTTTTCTTCAGATATATTGATCCCTCTATTTTCCCAATTTAGTGCCTTGAACACATCTTCGAGGACTAGGGTGAACAGCTTAGGTAATAATATATCGCCTTGTCGTGCACCTCTTTTCACCTTCACTTTGTATCTCCATGCATTCTTAATTTTATTTTTGTTGCTTCTTGAATATTTTTGATTATGTACCTATATAGGGTGTCCCACGGTGGATGGCGTATCAGACGTTTATGGAGAACTAAAAAGCGGATCATTTTGAAAATTTGGCAAACGGGATAAACGACCATGATCTACCCTTAAAAAATATTTTTGTTTATGCGGTATTGCCGCTTCTACTCTAAACCAGTGGCAACATAGCTATTCTAAATGGAACACCCTGTATGTGATTGCATATTTGGATTCTTCGTAAAATTCTGAGCAGATTTCGTGTGATAATATACCCTATACCTGAGTTCAACTGTTTTGGAAATATTGACAGTTGAAAATTGACTTTTTGCAACTTTGACAGGCTGTAAAACCTGAACTATTAATTTTAGAGAAAAACCGATTTCACATTCCTATCTTAAATCTTAGATTTTTATAAACTTTCATTTGACACCAACTTTCAATTCAATCCATGATTAAAAATTCCAATTAAATTTAATACCCGGTTAAATTCAAAGTTGGTGTCAAATGATAGTTTATAAAAATCTAAGATAGGAATGTAAAATATTTTTTTCTCTAAAATTAACCGTTCAGGTTTTACAGCCTGTCAAAGTTGCAAAAAGTCAATTTTCAACTGTCAATATTTCCAAAACAGTTGAACTTAGGTATAGGGTATATGACATGAAATCTGCTCAGAATTTTACGTAGAATCTAAATATGCAATCACATACAGGGTGTTTCATTTAAAATAGCGATGTTGCCACTGGTTTATAGTAGAAGCGGCAACACCGCATAAACAAAAATATTTTTAAAGTGTAAATCATGGTCGTTTATCCCGGTTGCCAAATTTTTAAAATGTTCTTCATAAACGTCTAATACGCCATCCACCGTGGGACACCCTGTATGTACAAGGTGAGTTACTAAGCGCGAGGTGGTCCCTATCTCCTATACTAACGGAGATCGAAAAAAAAGCTAAATACAAAATTTGTAGATAAATATAAGTAATATATTCCTAAATTATTTTCCAGTATACAGGGTGGCCCAATAAGTAGTGGTGATACAAAGTTTTGTTTTTTTAAATGACTCCTCCTGTATATTATGACATTTCTGGATTCTGTGGAAAATTCTAGACATATTTTATGTACAATGTCATATACCTACCTAGGACCGATACGGCCATTTTTATCATATCCCAATGTCAGAGTCAGGATGCGTATCTGTTGAGCTCTCAATGAAACTTCTCTGAGCCTGAGATATTTGAGAGTTATTATCATCATTGAGCTCATCAGATGTGCGATTATTCCTCAAATGAAAACTATTTCTACGGACTTCCTGACCATCATCCTTCTGAACTGTGTAGGACCTGGGAACAGACAATCTTTTAGAAACTGTGCCTGGTTGCCAAGTCCTATCCTCTTTCACATTCCCCCTATCACCAACTCCAAAAGGATCCCTAACCATATTTTGCTTATCATAGTAGATAGTATTTATATAGTTTTCTTTTATTTTCAATTTTTTCTTTCTCCCTTTCATATTCAATGGTTTGAGGTTGTAATAGGTTTTTCATAACTGGTAGCTTAGCCCTGAGAGAACGGCTATTAAAAAGTTGGACTGGAGTTTTTTCTGAACCACTATAGGTGTATTAGGATATTCTAAAAGTGCACTACAGAGGTCATTACATTTTTTGAGCATATTTTCAACTGTCTGCACAGCCCTCTCTGCTAGTTCGTTAGGTTAGACCTAGGGTAATTAGGACTGGAAGTAGCAATATTAACATTCCATGCCTGTGCAATAACTTTCTACATTCAAATGAATTAAGGGGCGTATTATCTGCAACAACCTGTCTCGGAATACCCTGAGAGGAAAATACTTGCTTAAAAGCGTCTATATAATAGAGCTTTATGTTTTAGATGCCAGTTTAACAACCTCCAGCCATTTACTCAAATAACCATTTACTACCAAATATGGCTTTCCTCCATACTCGATAATATCACTGCCAACAATTTCAAAGGGTAACTCTGGTAATTTTCGTAAAATAAGAGGTTCCTTTCGATTGCTATTTTTATACTTTGCACATGTAGCACAACTTGTAACTATAGCTCCTCTATGTCAGAATTAATTTGAGACCAATATAAAATTTGCCTAGCTCTTTGCTGAGTTTGAATAACACCATAGTGATTTTCGTGAAGCTTTTCCAGCATTTTATTTCTGAGTGATTTTGGAACAATTAGTCTTTCATCTAAGAATATTAAATCGTTCAATATGTGAATATTAATTCGTTTTGCAAAATACTTTTTAATAAGATCAGGAACTTGTGTTATGCTAGATGGCCAACCCCTATTACAAATATCCATTAAAGGTTTAAGCTCATCGTCTTTAAATGTTTCTACCTTAAACTCTATTTGCCGCTCATTCGACAAATTTATTGAATGAACAATTTCAGTTAAAAAATTCTGATCAGAACCAGAGTCCATAATATAGTTACGTGAAAGCAAGTCAACTATGAGCATCTCCTTACCAGGCTTGTAATGAACAATTTCATAATATTTCAAAAGTTTTACCTTCATTCTTTGAAGTCTTGGAGATTGCACTTCGGCATCGCCCTTTTTCATCATTGCCTCAATAGGCTTATGGTCTGTATGAATAGCAACATGATGTCCATAAATATAGTTATGGAATTTTTGACAAGCATAGACCACTGGTAAATTTTTTTTTGTCAATTTGACTGAAACGCGTTTCAGCTGCTATTAATGATCGCGATGCGGAAGCCACTGGTTTATTGTTCTGCAGGAGCACACAGCCCAAACCTGACCCAAACTTGCATCTGTTTGAATAACTGAGAGTAAAGATTCATTAAAATTAGTCAATACAGGTGGAAAACATCAATTTTTTAAAATTATTTAGGGATTCCGTATATTTGGAAGTCCACAACCATACCACCTCTTTCTTAAGTAACTCTCTCAATGGTGTTGATGATATCTCTAATAAATTGGGTATGTATTTTCTTAAATAATTAATCACTCCTAGAATTCTTTGAAGTTCTTTTGGCGTTTTTGGCTCCTCAAGGCTCATTATGGC